CTTGACACCTGCTACACAAACACAAGTCAAAGCAGCAGCAACTGCCATTCAAAAAGTTCAAATTTAATATTGATACAAGTTTTGACAAACAAAACGTACACCAACCAACATCCAGACTGGGTTGATACCTTCTTGTTGCTATTTTAGCGTCCTTCTTTAGAAGCATGAATGCAAACAGAGAGGAAAAAAGAAAGCTTTTCGGGGAGTTCCCCCATCGGCTGTTTCCTGAGGGAGTCCCCAGAATTGTTTGGTCTCTAAAGCAACTTTTTCACGTACCATTGTCTGCAGTCTTTTTTTTATATATTTGAACGTGTAAACAATATTTTTCTAAGGTGGTACAGGTTCTACCTAATCCCTGATATTACACAAATCAGCTAAACACATATTCCACCACTCACTTGTCACTTATTATTCCAAACTGAAGGATCCACTCTGGGGCTAAATATTCCCTGCAAGCTCAGTCTGAGGTCCTGGATTACGTCTGTGGTACAAGGAACCAAGTGGAGCTATCAGTATTGGATTTCACTAACATGGGGATTTACGTGGATCTGTAGTTTATTTGAGGATTAAACAAAGATATTAAATAAAAGGCTTTCAGCAACTACATGGCGTTCGTGAACGTGTGTGTTCATGTGCCTGCAGTTTGAGAAAATCAGTGGCAGAAATTAACAAATTTTGGTTTCAATTTCATAAGCAGCTGTGCAGACAAAGTCAAAGAAACTTAAAAGAAGAACGCTGCGGCCCTTGGAGCCTTTACTCCTGGGGCGTGTAGAGGAAAACTGATGATAAATGGATCCACCTCGGAATGCTTACGTTGATAGAACCACATGGATCCATTGTTTGTGTAAAGCATGTGTGTGTCAGGCTCCTGTCTCTATTGTGACCACGATCAGTCCATCAAAGCCCAGAGAGCGTATTGGCGAGGCGCTTGGTCTTCTGTCTCCTTCACACTTCCTCCGTTTGTGGGGGTGTGCGTGCGTGTGTTTTTGTAAGAGCCAAACCAAGCCTCTGTCTCCTTGCACTTCCTCCTCACCATTGTGTGTTTGCAAGCATTTGCTCTCTCTCCCTCTCCCTCTCTCTCTCTCTTTTTCTCTCTCTCTGCCTCTAATCAGTGTCTTATTGGGCTGATCCCAGAGACTATGGATGAACTATTTCTGGAGATTCCTGTTATGAAAAGATTATCTACTCCCCCTCCACCCTATCTGCTTATGTCTCAACAGTTGCACCCATTATTTGAACCTACATCAGTGAAAGGCTAAGGATATAAACTATGCTGCATATGGGAGCATACCTTTAACCTACTCGCTAAACATTCAATTCATTAAGATTTTAGAGGCCTTCCACTGAGGCCCCGAAACACGAAATATTGGTTTTCATGAAATATTGACATTATTTTCTACACTAGAATGACAATAGACGTACCAGTAATATCTTCTAATCTATTTTTCTTTTCATTAGGTAGAGATAATATGTTTCTCTTCTTTTTTTTTTTACTCCTCTAGATTAACACACATTAGATGATCACTGCAAAATTGTAATCTCTTGTCACATGAAGGCTCTATGTGATTTCCTTCCAGAATGGTCTTGACTCCATCCATCTATCCATCAACTCTAACAACAGTTTTCCTCTCCCAGCTGAAGAAATGCATCCCCACAACATGATGCTGCCACCACTGTGATTTATGGTGGTGTCCGTGTGTTCGGGGTGACGTGATGCTTGATTTCCACCGTAGTTTTTACATGTAGGCCAAATGGTTTTGGTCTCATCTGACCAGAGCATCTTCGTTTATGTCTTTGAAAACTGCAAACTAGTATTTTTGTGGCTTGCTTCCAACAATCGTGTTTTCCTTGCCACTCTTCCGTAAAGGCCAGATTTGTAGAATTGGTGACTAACAGTTTGCCTATTAAGAGATTATTCCATCTTAGCTCTGGATCACTGCAGCTCCTCCCGAGTTACAGTGAGTAACTCTTGGCTGTTTTCCCTGATTATTGCTCTCCTTGCCCAGCCTGTCAGCCTAAGTGGACGGCCATGTCTTGGTAAACTTGAAGAGTTTTGTTTGTAAAAAAGTGTCTTTCCGCTCCACCTCGTAGTTATCCAGTATTTTTTGTTGGTGTGTTATATAAATTGTCAATCAAATACACTAAGACAGACAATATGTAGAAGAAGAACTCTAAAGAGATTAAATAACATAGTGAAATATAGTATACAAAAGAAGTTCAACAAATACAAAACTATATTTCAAAGGCATATTTTTAACTCGGTGAGAGTAAAATGACTTACTGATGTTTACGCACACAGACCGAACTCTGCAATATTTTTTTTTTACCTCCAAAAGACCACTATAGCCTTTACAAACCCATGATTTGGTTATCTCCGCTGGGAGTGTTTGTTGACATGGACTTGGGTGTGTGTGTGCATGTGTGTGTGTGTGTGTGTGTGTGTGTGTGTATGCGTGGGTTTGTGTGTGTTGGAATGAGTCCTTCGTCCGCTGACCTTCACTTGGCCTCTCTGTTTGGGGTTTGGACTGGTGGACCCCAAGGCTATAACCCAGAGGATAGCTCTTTGAAGCCGCAAGACTTTTGTCTTTACTCTGCATCTTTCCGTCCCTTTTTCTTGCTTCTGATCTCTGCTCCTCCTATTATTCTCTCCATCTTTTTTCCTAGTTCTCAATTTATCATTTCTAATGCTGATTTGCCTAGATTTTCACTTCCTTTACGCCTGGGGGTCAGAGGTGACAAAGCAAAGTTTATGGCTTGCAACAGTAGCTTTGCCTAACAGTTCAGCAGCAGCAACAGTGGAAATCAAATGACTACCTAGTGTTTAAATTAGTGGTGATGGCACACACAAAACAATCCATTAAATCAAGTATATTAAGTTGCAGGTTTTATTTCTTGTTCCCTTTTTCTGGGGAACATTTATATGCAGCACTGGTTGTAATCCTTCTAACACCGTTGCATCTCCTCATTTCCTTTCTTTTGTCCCACACCCACATTATACTTGTATTTGATTTGTATCTGAATCATAAGCCGAGCTCTCTGACGAGCTTTGATGAATGGAAACTGCAGACACTCTGAAAGAGACGCACTCATTTGGCCCGCAGCTACTGGCAGCAGCGGCACGTCTGCTCGTCTGATCTCAAACACTTTACCACACACATTCATCAACAGTTGCGGGCATTCTTTCGCAATTATCACTAGAAAACATCTCGGAGAGCTGGAGCCCCCTCGTCTCCTCGCAGGGGTTGTGGACCCAGGTTGGAAGAGAGACGTTTTAGCGTTGGTGTTTTGGGCGCAGACTCTGGGTGGTCGGGTTTTTTTTGTTTTTTTTTTCTGCTCAGGGATTTGGCCTTGTTTGGTAATCTCTCTACATTTGTGCTTCCTCTGCTTATGCTTGCTCTGTCTCTGTCACTCACACACCCTCGCACACAGTAATTATCCCTTTCTTCCGGCAGGTTATGAATTTTGTATAGGTTTTCCTTAGTTAATGAGCTCCCTTTCTATAGTTCTGCTGACTGGATTGCACGTTGTTTTATGCTCAAGTGCCATAAGGCTGTTATTTTTTTTGCTAAATTCAATCATGTCTTGACACCTTTGGTGTCTGATCAAACCGATACTTGGGAATAAAATTATTATTTCATGTTATTAGGCACTTTGAACTGCCTTGTTGCTGGAAAACTGCTACATAAATAAAACTTCTTCTATTTCTTCTTCAACTGAGGTGTGTTAAAGCAGAGACGCATCTAAAGGTTATAGGACAGCGGCCCTCCGAATCACCAAACTGACTGAGCACATGGCAACAAAGGTCTGAGTTGAATAATTAAAGTTTTGAAGGGACACAAGTACATGAAAATGCAGTGCAAATCAAATCTATCCATATAAAAAATGTAATGTAAATATTATCCAGGTTTTGTGGGTTTTTGAGTTGACTTCTGTATCTCAGTATCCAGTACTTGGAACAAGAAGATTACTTCAAAAACAGAGAAATACTTTGATGCTTTGTTGGATATATATGCAGCCTTTTAACATTGCTTCGCACAGGCAAACAAACACACACACGCCCACACACACAAACACACACTCTTTCATGGAGTTGGCGGGATCTATGTTTCTGGCTAAATTGCTTCTGACTGAGGCGTCAGCTGGGACAGAAATGGCTGCCAACAACGAACTGAACAGTCATCCAGGATTTTCTGCATCATCCTTTCCCTCCATTTGTTTGCCGTCCAAGCTTTGGGTTATTACAGACATTTCCTTGCCACATGATGACTTGTCTGGCTTTCTCTTTTTCTTGCTCCACCTTAACGCTGTGAGATCATAGAAAATAATGCGGAGGTGTGAAATATATGGACGCAACCAAGCCGATGTTAAGAAATGGAAACTAAGCTGCTGCTTAGGCCTCACGAGATATTTAAAGAGATCTCTGTTGGTTTTGTTATTTGTTTGTGTTGACATGAATCAAGAGTAAACCAGACATTAAATTTGTTGTTTTTGATGTGGATGGAAAAAAAAATGTATCCTCCTATTAAATAATTATTAACTGGAGTAAATGTGAAATCCATTCAATATTTAAAAGAAAATGTTTATTTATTTATTTATTTACTTTAGCTTGAGTAAATTTAAAACCACTACTGTACAACTTGACAGGGCTCCTTTTCAATACTACACGTATTTTTCTATGAATATTATTGGAAAAACACGTTAGATTAAGTATCCAAGACAGCACGACTATAAATTATGGAGATTCCTTCAACGTGGTGATGCATTTCAGACGCTTATTTCTACTAATTGTGTTGATTGTGGTTTACAGCTAATGAAAACACATAATCCAGTTCCTCAGGAATATTAGAATATTGCGCAAGACCTAAGCTAAATAATAGGATTTTCAAGAGAAATGGCTAAATTCCTCTCTCACACTATTCAGTCGACCTGATTGTGTGGCGTACGTGCGCTGGGCGCGCCTCGCCGTGAAGGGCGGGCGGGGTGTGAATGCATTGTCATACCTGCAGCGGTTGTCTTTTCACGGCACCACTTGCGCTTTTCAGACTAATCTGGCGACACAAAGGAGCGTCTCACAGTTGTCTCCACTCGTTCCTAATGATATGCAAACTGGGTGCCAACCCACGAGTCAAACGCAGCTCATCAGGGGAGTGGTAGAAGCTGAAATGAAAACAGAGGAATCACCTCATGGGGGAAGTTCATCACTTTGATGAAGTCTAAAAGGAAAAAAAAAAAAAAATGACCGCATCACCTTTTGCGCTTTGAAAATCCGTGCTGTCATAGAGCTGGAGGGGTTTTTTCGAACCCCTCACCCCTTACATGTTAGCAACTCCACAGGTCTGCAGCTGCTCCTTATCAGGTGGGGCGCAGCAGAGGAGTGGATCTGGATGGGGTGGGGGGTGGAGCCACCTCAGAGTTGCCCATTCCTAAAGCTTGAATCACACAGTTCTCCATTCACATTCCTGCTGGGATCTGCATCCTGAGCGTCGGAGGGAGCTGGAAGGTGCTGAAGACCTCTGAAACGCGTCAGAATCCAACCGGAAACAAATGGATTTATTGTTTTGTAACACGATTAAGGGACATTTGCGACCAAAGCTATAGCTATAGTGTTTTCTTTCTTTCTTTTTTTTTTTTTTTTACCCACACTGGATTTACTATGCGGACTTTGTACTGAGAGCGGAGTGGATCTGAGCGGATACCAGCCGGGGCGCAGCGGGACTCGCGATCGTGACGTTTAACGATGATATTAACACGTAAGTCAGTGACTGATATCCACCACAAAAAAAAAAAAAAAAAAAAAAAAAATGATTTTAGTGTTTCAATTTTACTGTTTTTAAGATTTAAGTATTTTCCCCCCACTATACCCTATTTTTGTTACTGTTTAAATGTGTTATCTCTAAATTTGATTTATTACATGCGCTACTTTCCTATCATTTCACCATCACATCTAAGATTCTTTCTAGTCGTCTAAGGCGTTTAACGCTTCAGGCTGTCAGATAAGAAATCTGCTCCCTTCTCGTCGCATACCTTCACGTCCCCCCGTCCTGTTTACGATCCACTGAATATCCCCGGGTTTTGTTGACCAGATAACCTTTCACGACTTACACACACACAGAGAGAGACAGAAACCCACACCACGTCAGGGATGCTTCTCGACTCTTGATAAAAAAAAAAAAAAATCTTCTCCAGGTTCTCCCTCCCGAAAAAACGTTTCCAGCAGATGAGCGCACCGCTCAGATCAGACAGAATGCTCACACTTACAAAATATAATCCGGTGCTGTAAATTTTCATTGACAAATAAATATTGATCATAAAAATGCAGATGTGGGTTGGAAATCACGCAATTCACTGCTGGATTTTACGAAATACAATTGGATCAACATTTGATTCCAAACATCAGAATAAGGAGGAAGGGCAAGATAAGAATTGGAACATACCCCCAATATACATACATATTTTTAAATATACAAAAAAATAAATAAGCCACGGCATGTTGTATAGTGACAAAATCAAATGCTACATTAAAGTGAGGCAGTGGAAAGGATTTGACACTTCTCCTGGAGCCTGATATATCATTATCGGTTGTCACTTTTTTTTTTTATGTGGCCCTATAAATCAAATTTATCCTAATAATAGTTGCCTCTTTTCAGTTAGTCTGTTGCTGTGATTAATTTGGTGATGTCACACAAAAAACATTAGTATGGAAGTCCTTTTTGGATGTATATATTGAAGAAGTTTATCTTGTACAGTTATAAGTGATACTGTGAAATAGGGGATTTTTGGAAGTGGTTGTTGTGTCATTGAAAGAACATTTCCAAGTTTAATCACCCACAGTTTTCTTTGTTTCTGTGTGCCTCTGAACAGAATTAAAAACTTAAGGTTTAAATGGCTCCTTTTGCTCTCTACCCCAGAATCAACTGGGGCAACCAAACCCTATGAACTGCTGGGTTGTGGGCTAACACTGAACAGCAAAGGATGAAATGGGATTTAGCCTTTAAGATTAGATAAACCATAAGTATATAGACCGATACCCATCCCTATAACTCATCTTCCATGTCTGGACTTCAAACTTTGTTAACTACTCGTGCCTCTGGCCTTGTGTCGCAGCCGTATGAAATCCTGTTTTCAGTCTTGTTGTTGTTCTGACTGGATGTGTTTTACAATTTGTTTCCAGTCTTTACACTTTGTCCCAACAGTTTTGTCTATTCCAACACACAGCCTGTTATCAGTCACTAAGGTCTGGGTCAGATATGAGTACTGAGAGGTTCACTTAAACCATAAAACCATTGGGAACGTGCTCAGACACACACACACACACACACACACACACACACACACACACATTTGCACATATTTATTTTGATGCAACATGGAGTTAATGAAGAACACCAGGAGAAAAATGGTCTCTTCCCAGAAGCAAGAAGAATAGTATCTTAGTTGAATGCTTGCTTGTTTGTTTTTTTCACTGAGAACACAAGACTAAACTCTGAAGAGAAATTAGTTTCTGTGAGAGGATCTGAAGAAGGAAATACGCCTCATCTGCACTCTGTGAAACAGGAAGTTAGCTGTTGCCTTATCTGGTAAATTTACATCCTGCTTCGGTCCACTTGCCAGGAAAGTGGATCCATATGTTCCTTTTAGCTTTTACTTTCCTTATGGAGAAGGGTGCATCCTTGGATATCTGAATGTTTTGGGGAGGAAAGGTAATCCTCATCTGGCTGTAGAAAGCTCCGCAGAGGGCTTTGAGAAAGTCAGGTCACCTGATCCAGGGACAAGGCGCTCCTGGAGAGCATAAATCTGTCATCAGAGGCACTGAGGCCTTTGGGATTAGCAAAGCGATGATCCATCTGGCCCAGCTGTGTAGTTTGCTTGTGCATGTGTCTATGGATCCACGCCTGTGTTCCTACACCAGCTGGTGGTAAATAACTTGAATGGTTGATGTGAGTAACTTCATTTTTGTTTCTTGTGTGAGTGTGTGTGTGCGTGCACGTGTGTGCGTGTGTGTTGAAGACACTGCTTGAGGCCAACCAGATGGTGATATCTCTGGCACCGTATCACTTAGCTAACAGCAAGACCCTCTCTGTGAACACCAACTGTCCCAGAATGCGAATCACAAAATATGATACCAAATTGGAATTGGAGAGAAAAATCTGTTGTCATACATCTTTCGGTTTCAATACTCGTCACGCTAGGATAAGCCCTGGTGTCCAGTTGTTCTCTGCATTTTGACGCTACCACTGGTTGAGACTCAAAGTTTAGGCTTTCAGGGAAACTGTTACTCCAAACGTCTCAACACATGACCCAATAAGCAGAAATACTGTCATTCTTGTGACTTTTCTCGTTATTTGCCACTACTCTGTCACAGACTCTTTGGAGGTTTATCACCCTACCTGTCTAGGTCCACTTTGCAGTTCTTTCAGAATGATCTACTCAAACCTGAAGTTGATAAGAACCCTCAGAGCTGCCCTTTGGAGTTTTTCATTTTTTTTTTACAGTTGCCGCGTTGGAAACCCGCCAGTGATCAGGCAATTTCAGATAAGCTACCGCAGGTCACAACAGAGGTCATCTTAAGCATTCTTCTCAATGTTCAACTTCAAAGAGCTAGTCTTGAAGATAACTGTACTCTTCTGACCTCCAGTTTGAAATGGCAGAGCCTTTTAAGGTGGGGGACTGCAAGCGGCATCCTTTGTTTGCTCACCGCTGACAAACTCCCTCCGGAGCTGAGCATTCAGAGCCAGTCTAGCCAGACCCCCATAGCCTCCCGCGATGGAGGGAAGCTGTGGCCAGCAATTGTGAGAATTTCCTGCCCCCGGAAGGGAGAGAGGAGAAGAGAAGGGGCCAGCAGAGTAGAAATAAGCAAAAGACATCACTGGAGACTTTGGTCAGAGGAGGTGAAAAGAGAGAGCAACCACAATAGTTAAAATTAGAAATTGATACAGTGGTGAGCATTAAAAGTTTTGCACTTGATAAAAGATTTTTGCCTGCAGGTTTTGAATGATGACACTTTTCATCTTTGTTAAAGGCATGTTTTATAATATACAGTAAATCACTCTTACCTTATTCAAATCAACCTGAAGTATTTTGGGGCTAGCTAAAACTCCAGCTGAGAGGATATTGCTGGCTCCTCCTGCTTGGCACAACAGTGACTTTACCTTAAGGTGTGGCTAAATATTTGAAAGCTTTAAGATAAATTTTATTGCTGCTGTTGTCGTGGTAGTGAGGGCAGTTCAGTTTCAGCCAACTATTTGCTGGCGTACAGGGAGATTTCAGGCATCCTGTTTGGCCCCTCAGTCAGAAATACAAGCTGTGTTGTGGTCTAAAGTTTTGAATCGGTTTAGGTTGATGTTTTTCTGTGTTCACTAACTTTGTGGGAGCTGGTATTGGAGTCAGAAGTGAAGTTTGTCATGTTTCTTATGTGTTTAGGAAGTTTTACACTGGTGATTTTGCTAGAACATCTACAAGCTTGAAGTCATGTGTACAAAACTAACAATTCTGCTCTCGCTCCTTCTGTTGAGATTCTTTGATTTTGCTCTTTCACTAAAGCAAAGCCAATGGTAGCTATAATTATCATGGTATATTGAGTTTTCTATTACCGATGGATTTGTTGTTTGAATGGGTTGGATTGATTATCGACTACAGTCGATAACGTATCTATGGACAAGCGCTGCGACTGACCCTCGGTGCTGTCACAGTTTGAGCCCCGAGTGCGTGCTTCAAGACATTCGTCCGGTGTGGCTTTTTGTCCGTCTCTAACCAGAAGGAGGTTTGCTTTTGTGCACACAATCACCGGACCTCGTGTTTGCCTTGGCTGCCTCTCCTCCTATTATCTGGCCTGGAACAAATGAAGGCAGGGCCCTTCCAGCCAAATGGTCGGTCAGTGGCCATGGCACTTCATAGCAGTTCTCTTCCTGTGTGGGAAGAGGAAGTGAGGTAGTTCCCCTGGTTTAGGAGTTGGGGTGAAGACAAGGAAGAAAATAAAATAAAATGCAGTCATGCCAGAGAATTGGTTGCGATATGGTTGGGTAAGTAAGGGTGGTTAGAAGTCCTTTTGTTTTTTGAGGTTGGGGGGGTGAGAGGGGTTTGTAATGAACAGTGTCTTTTTGTTGTTTGTTTTTGAGATGCATGTGTGGAGCAACTCTATTGTTAAGCTGTTTGTTTCAGATTCCCCATGCCCCTGTCTACTTCCTGGACACAAACAAAAGCTGGATACATTCTCTTGCTTCATATTTGGATAAATAATGTGATTTGGTAATAAATATTCATCGTAATATTTTCTCAGAACATAAGATTCAAACTATATTACTTGAAAATAGATTTAATAGACATGC